ATGTGTTTGTTGTCTGTGTACAGAAATGCTACTGAATTTTGAATGTTGACTTTGTGTCCTGCTATGCTACTGAATTTGATTTCTAAATCTATAAGTCTCACGGAGTCTTTGGGTCTTCTATGTACAGTATCATGTCATCTGCAAATAATAATTTCACTTATTCCTTTCCAATTATTATGCCTTTTATTTCTCTTTTCTCTAATTGCTCTGGCTAATGTTTCCAGAACTATATTGAATAGGAAGGGTGACAGTGGATATCTTTGTCTTGTTCCTGATTTTAAAGTGAAGGCTTTAGTTTTTGTCCATTTAGTATGATGTTGGCTATTGATTTATCATAGATGGCTTTTATCAGGTTGAGATAAAGACCATCTATTCCAAATGACTTGTTTTTTTTCTACTCCAAATTTATTATGAAAAAAAGCAAAAGATAAAATGTTAAAAAGTTGTAAAGTCTGGCATTTAAGGAAACATGCACATGACTACTCTTAGTTACAATTATTTCCCATAAACATCCTTACTTCCACCCAATTTGTCTCCCCATTCTTACTTATTCCCAAGTAATAGCTTTGCAAAGGCTGGAATGTTCTTTCTCTCCTGTTTGTTTTCCTAAATCCCAGTTAATCTTCAAAGTCCAGCATACATCTCAATTCTGAAGTTTGCCCCAAACCTCCGAGCCACAGTAAGTGCCCTCTTTATGAGCATCTATAGCACCTGTCTGGAGCATTTACTTGGCACTTTAGGGAGTGTGATACAGAGCAAGGCTTTAGCGTACACACATCATCTATTTTTTTTCTACTCAAATAGGCAATTTTTCTGCCATGGCACTCTATGTTTGATTTCTTTTTATTAATGTATTTCTTAATCATAAAAATAGTATGAGACTACAGTAGATATAACTGTCAGAGTTTAAAAACTAAATGTTACTAGAACGCCTGAAATGAATAATAATTTTCTATATTATAACTAAATATTAAAATATTTTTAAGTTTTCACACAGTATCTTTAAAGTGCATATAATTTTAAAACATCTTTTATCTGGAAAGTGTCTTCCAATATATTTTATTAAAATATTCATTCTAGAAGAAAGGGCTGACTTTGGGGAGGGAGCAAAAGAAAGTTTAACATTCCTTGGAAGAAGGACTAGGAAAAACAAAACAAACTAAAGATTCACGGGTGCTCCTATACTGGCTTTACATGTTGACTTCTACAAAAAAAATGAATATTGGGGCTGGGGAGATGGCTCAGTAGGATAAGCGATAGAAAGGCAAACGCAAGGATTTGAGTTCAATCCCCGGTTCCGCCTTAAAAAAAAAAAAAAAAGAATATTGTAAAAAAAAATGGAATATTCATAAAGTATCAAAAACCCTGAAAACCTACCATCCTATAATTTAATAATTAAAATGAAAATGTGGTAAGTAGAAGATGAAATTTCTTCAATGTGAGGATAAAAGACAAGAGACCTGGAAGTATCAAAGATGACACTATTAAAGAAGTAAGAATTAGAAATGTGAGTTCTTTACATACTGAGAGACATAAATTAGGAAAGATTCCCTTACCAACAAATCACTAAGACTAAAAAGGATCTTGGGATAGGTTTTAAGCATGTGGTTTAAAAAAGACATTTCGGTGATATTGCTGTTTGTCATGATAAGTTGGCAGACTGTCTGCCACCTCATTCCAGGTTTCTTTACAATATAATGAAAAACTGTACAAAATATGTTGACACTATATATAAATACCTAGCTTGTTCACCATCATAAACAGGCTTTATACTTTTTTCTATTGTTTACAATTTTAATTACATGCAGAAATCACTATTGAATGCTGTACTGAGTTATTTAATGTAACTTTTTTCATACATTAAATTGTACTTCTATTTTTTTTCTTTTCTTTTTTTTTTTTTTTTCTTTTTTTTTTTTTGGCAGAACCAAGGATTGAACTCAGGCCTTGCACTTGCCATGGAAGCACTTATTCCACTGAGCCATCTCCTCGGCCCCTTAATTTGTACTTTCAAAGCTATTAAGTCAATCAATACACTAGAAATTCATACATATTTTACAGGATTCATACTACCCTGCCATATCAGCATGGAATGTTTGTTTCATAAAACAGAATTACTAAATTTTATGACAGATTTTTCACCAAAATTAATCATTTCAAATCTATTGAAGGTAGAGCTTAGATTAAAATCCAAACATATAATCCCAACTCTAGGCTTTAAAACTCAACACTCAGGGTTGGGGAGACAGCTCAGTAGAAGAAGCATTTGCCTGGAAAGTGCAGGGTCCTGAGTTCAATAAAAAAAAAAAAAAAAAAAAAAAAAAAACCCTCAACATTCTTTAAAAAATTACCACTGACTTAGATATCTTACTGTAATAATGTGATATGGTCAAAGAAAAAATGTTATCTATAAGAACTTCAAAGAACAGAACCTTTATTGTCTAATTCATTTACTGAATAAAATATAACTTTACCACATTGAATATGCAATTTATATTATCAATATAGTTTAGTTTAATGAAGTGAGGAGCAGCAGAGTTGGAAGGAGCATATTTGTTCATGTGTATTCTGTCAACTACTACTCAGTAATGGTTGGGCAGCAGTCATCTACCTTATATATGTAAAAATACAATTAAAACTACCATCTGTCCTTTGCCAACAAACCTAAATCTAAACTAGAATAGTCAAGGTTACAAATCATACTTTTTAAAATACTAATTTAAAAACTGTCTCTTTAAATCTCTCCTGTATTTGACAAATGCACAGCCTACAGTTTGGAATTCTACAACTAACACAATAGTCAAATATTACCTCAACTCTACTGTTGAAAACAATGAAAAGGAAAAGACCCCTAAAAGGTCTCAGTATGATTAATCAAAAGTATCCAGTAAATATTGTCAAATTAAGTAGGAATAGAGTGAAAAACAGACCATGTTTCAGGAGAAGTAAGCTACTATATAATTTTAACACCTGTTTTATGCAAGCTAAAAGGAGGAATAAACCCTCAAAAGAGCTGAGTTAAAATGACATTAAGGTTTTCAGTGAGAGAGGGAAGGGAAGGGGCTTTACCTTTGTGCCACACAGTTTTTACTTTAGAATCATCTCAAAAACCATAATAGAAGAAGGATAACTCAAAACTTCAACATTCCAAAAAACAAGCAGCACCTAGTCCTATTCAGTTTTTAAATTTCAGGTTACCAGTATCTCTACAGACAACTACATATTCAGTATAGTTACTATTTAAAAAAAAAAAAAAAAAAAAAAAAAAAAAAAAAACCCTCTGGATTTAGGTGAAGAAAACAAAATTAAAATAACCCAAAATGTTCTAAGAAATTGTTCTTTAAACAAAACACTTGGGTGTGCAGACAACACTGAGAATGATTTGGCAAAGAAAAGATGAGGATAAGCTACTAAATGCTATCTGTTCTCAGTAAGACAAATCAAATTTCCAATGTGGAATGGTGTTATTAAAGATTATATTCTACCTTTATCTTTTAGGATTTTTGATGCAAACTATTTTACCCAATTACATACTTCAGAAAATTTCAATTAATAAAAATCCTTGTGAGGAAATGATTATTAAACCACAAAAAGCCAAAGGACAAGAAGTTGAAGACTTTAGACAGTATCTAAGAAAGAACACAGCCAGGGAATGGTTTAACAAGGTGGCCAAAGTTCAGAATGGCAGAATCCCTTTCCTGCTATAATGAATATGCTAAAACTACCAGCAGTTTTGTGACTATCCTGAGTGCATAGTAAAATAGAAGGGAAAAGCCTCACATAGAAAGTTGAATGGCCCAAAGAAACCCTACGTGCTGGTAAGAGCCTAAAGGCACATGCAGGTACGCATCTTTTATATTGGATGTGATACACTTACATGGCCCCTGTTGAATCTCTTGGGGACCAACAGTAAAGCAAGTTTAGAACTTCAAATCTTGAGACATCTATAGCAAGATGCTGATCCAATGTGGCTCCAAATATCTTCTGTTTTCCTGGCTCACCTGAAGAGGAAAAAACACTACAGAGGATGTGGGAACTGAATTTCTTTAAGTAGTTTCTTCTAGAGCAACTGTCTGAAAGTTTTGGCCCACTCCTTTATGAAGTCTGGAGATGAAACACTTGAAGGACTAGTGAAAACCAAATTCAAATGAAAAGGTGGAGTGAGATATCTGAAGGGGAACAGGAAAGCAAGCTGAGGTAAACCTGTGTTTCCAATCCTGTGGGAGGAGGCAGAGACAGGAGAGGGGAAAAACGCGCAGCTGTTTCTCCCTCAGCTCCCTCACCCAATAGTTACTAGAACTTCATTAAGCACCTAAGCTTTTGGTCACAATCAGGGAGTGAATAAGCAATAGCACATGGAAGGGTAGCATCTTCAAGTCTCCCTCATCTGGCTGTATGGCATTATTTTAAGCAGTAGGGAGGCCTTTCAGATAATATCTTTCTCCTAAGAAAAGACTACGGTGAAATTCAGCTTGAAACAAAGAAAGAGAAAAATAAATTGCATTTATTCAAAAATGAAAGTCAGAGGACAATAAACTATCATTGATAATGTTTATCTAATTCTGTTTTCGAAAAGGGGTGGGACAGATTTCACGAAATAAATCAGAATCCAAAAAAAAAAGGCTTCCAAAAAGAAAATATTTTTTAACTAAGCAACAAACAGGCTTTATCCTTCTACAAGATACTACCCCTAAGAAGATAATTTTGAAGAGTGTGATTAGCAGAACCAAATATATATTAGTATAACACAAAAAGTATGAAATTATAGTCCATTTTAATTATTCATTTTTAATTAACTTTTAAATGTTCTCAAAACATTTTACCTAAATTTTATATTACTATAATTATTCTCCAGCATTCATGTTAACAGTCTATGACACAAAAGTTTTATTTCCAAATATGTTCCACTTTAACCAGAATACACGTGAACTCTGTCTAATAAAAAATACTGTACCAGAATTTTCTGAAAAATACATTTGGAGGATGAATTCGATCCTTACCTGACGTGGTTGTTCATTCATTCGTTGTGGGTCTGATTTCACTTTATTACTAGGATGGTTTGTAACTTTGGTTACTGGTTGTTTGAAAATTGATGCTGTTTGTCTAATCGGCAACGTTGTATTCAAATCTGGTTTACCCTGTAAATACAAGTGTTTTCATTAGTATTATATGTAAACATAATTAAATGATTTAACTCAATATTACTTTAAATCAGATTATTCAAAATTCTCAGTATCACAGCATTTTAAATACTTTAGAAATACATTTTAAAACACTTCATAGGGCCTGATAGCTCAGCGAACTAAAGTGCCTGCTTAGACAGAGCACAGTGGCCGGGGTTAGATCCCCAGCATGCTGTGTCGGCCCTGCTCCTGGAGTTCACCGAGATGGCAACTGAGATTGGGCATGGTGGTGCACACCTGTAATCCCAGCATTTGGGAGGCTGAAAACAGGAGAATCACTATGATTCTGATCTATGTAATGAGACCCTGAAGACCCTGTAGAGTGTCCTAAATTTAAAAAAAAAAAAAAATTAAAAAAATAAAACTTCATTAGGTAAGAAATTTGGCTCATAACAAATATGTATTTTTAAATGTAAGAAAATTCTCTGCACAAAATTTTAATTAATTAAACAAAGTACTAAAGATTTTTAGGGGCCAGGGAGATAGCTCAGGGTAATAAGAGCTTGCCTGGCAAGCACAGAGTCCTGAGTTCAATCCCCAGTACCACAAAAAAAAAAAAAAAAAAAAAAAAAAGATTTTTATATGACCAAATATGTGTGGGTTAGAAAAAGAATGAATGTTAAGGACAATAAACAAGATAGCAATAATTTCTATACTCTGAAAATATAAAAAATATTGAGATTAAATATTTTTGAGCATTAACCTAACCACCAGTCAAGAGGTCAGGATTACATAAAATCACATTAAGTTAATTTCCTTTTTAATCACATGAATTTCCTTTTTAGTATAAAACAATTGTTTGTTTTTTTTTTTTTTCTCTACAGTTTTATTGATAAACATATAGCAATGAGACAGTTTCAAATCAAATCGGAAGTACAGTTTCAACAAATAATACACTGCATATA